TTACTAAAGTTAATAACAAATAACTATTACTGCATAACTACTCAGTGTCAAAACATGCATAAGGTGATTTTTAGTAATGCTTGAAACATTTAATTACCACACCCTATAAGCATTACCAAAAAAGAAAATAATGGCTCTTCTGTTATTGAATCATATTAAACTACATTAATGTATTTTAAAAGATGAAATGTATTTTGAACAGAACTCCATAGAGAAAACCTCAAAATGTCATTGTGGTTATTATAAAAGGAGTGTTTTGTATTGGAAAACACAGAAAGGAGTTATCCAAGTACTTCTAGCCAATGGAACTGCACCGACAAAACAACAGCAGCAGTAAGACACAAACTGGAAAAAGACCAAAAATATGATTCAGTATATGAGGCCTCACAATCAGCTTAGCATAAGCACAGCCATGTTAACTGCCTCCTCACCCTGTCCCCTACCCACTCCCTTTCTCTTAAGCAAGTGCTTTCTGAGAAAAAATGGATTTTGTGCAAAACAGGATCTTATGCAGAACAGGAAAACCAAGAGCCGTTACAAAATGCTGAATACTCGAAATAGCTACCAAAGCCCTTCTAAAAACTTGTGCTCTCCACCCAAACCCCTTCCCCTAATTTAAACCCTATAGAAGCTCTACTAGTCTGTACAGGGTTTGGAACTGATATTTTAGTTTCCCCTCCTGGTTTGCTGGAGTAAACTCCCTTGCTTGATAAATGTTTGGCTTGGAGTCTTTTATTCTGTTTGTCTCGCCAATCTAACATAGTATTTAAAAAAATGTGTGTGTGTGTGTGTGTGTGTGTGTATTTATTTATTTATTTTTAAGACAATTGGGGCATTTAATCCTGAAATCAAATCAAATGGTGTTATACTACCTTGTATAGGTCATCAAAATATTTATATTGGTGGTTTCTCTGATGAATAAATGTTTAAAAATCTAATCGCATATTTCATTTTTCACTCATAGCACTAAGCGGATACAAAGAAAGAAATAGTGAAATTAACTAATTATATTAAGTTTAAATAATTGGTCATGAGAAATGTTTTCCTTGTAATTTGAGAAATAATCACGTTTAAATACATTTTATGTGTATATGTTCCTGGGACTTGCAAGTATAGTCTTCTGTACACTGATTAATTTAAAAGTGTTAGTTTTGTATTTGTGAAGGCTACTCTAAGAAAGATAATAGTTTCAGACATCTAAAAAAATAAATCAGTGGCTCAAGAAAAAGTTGAGCTATGATTCGAAGAAATTGATATGATTTGAGTTATATTTTTTCCCTACAAAAAGTTTGTGTGATACACAGCTTTAGCTCTGACTTTGGGAATTAACCTTCCACTACCCACAGTCAGAAAATGAAAGAGAAAAATATAGAGATATAAATCCTCATCCCATACTCAGACCAAATCTTTATGATATATACCTATACTTCACCCTCTTTTTATATCACAAACACAAGTAACCAAACACTTCTGTAGAATAAACTTGTAGTTTTACTGACAATGTTGCCTCCTGTATCCCTCCAACTTTCCTTACCATTTCAAGGTCCAATGGCAAATGCTTTCCAGCTACGAGATATCCGAATCACTGTATCTGAGGGCATTTCCATAAGTCAGCTACAGTCAGTAGCAGAACAGTAGTGTCAGCGTTAACTGTCCCTGAGATTAAACTTTGAGCAATGCTTCATGAGAACAGGTATATATATTCACTAACTAGACCTAGAGGACAATAAGTTTTAGGATTGTGTTTTATACGATTTCTCCCCACAAGATTAAATTTTAGTAGCCATTTATGGTACCATTTACTGTCTGTCTTCCCTTGCCTGTAACTTTTTCTCATTTCTAAGCTCCTTTCAAATAAATTAACTGCACTTGTATTAGGGTTTGATTCTTGGGTATTAACATTAAAATCAAATCAATGGCCAACTTTCATGTTTACAAAATGTCACTGAACATTTGCATTATTTTGTCATCTCATTTTTCTAAAGTTGCCAGAAGAAACCATCATTAGTTTAAAAATTATTTATTTTAGTTTCTTATGGAAGTCTTGTTATATATTATTCAAGAAGTCAAAAATAATATAAATAGGAAGAATACATGGACAGTGCCAAAACAAAATTACATTCAAATCAATATGTTTAAACAGGGTTCACAACAGATGTGAGAAGAGTGAATGTCACATAGGGAAAGGTTTCTCTAAACCTTCATTTATATGAATTATAACAACACAAAAAAAGATGGGCAAGAGCAAAAGAATCCAGTTTTGGATAAAGAATCAAGGTTCCTCACTGGATTCACAAGTTAAATATGTAAAGTTGTATCATAGTGCACATCACTATTTATTAATAGTTGATTATTGAAGACTATTGAGGTGTGTAGAGAGCAGAATAATTAGGGGAGCACACTCCACTTAAGAACTTAAATTTTAATAGCCTACATTTGATACTAAAAAAATATTACTTCCTATTGATTTTGTTTTTTCCTCAAGAAGAATATTTCATTTATCTCAGTAAAATGTGAAACATACAGACCTTAATTCTATTATCACTGGAGAAGGAAAAACTAGTGGCCATGACACAGGAAATGCTCAGTAAAATTTATTGTGCGAATAAATAATTAAATAATTGAATAATCCTAATAATTCCCCTTTTCTTACATGCGTTGAAAAATGGAGAACTAATCCAAGTGTTTTCTGGTTGCTAGACTGTAAATGCTTTAGTGAAAATACATATTAGCGGAGAGATCATAGTCTTGAATAACCTCTTCTTACAGTGGTAAGTTGCAGTGACTATGGCTAGCTTAAGCAATTTGACTAACAGCGTTCTTTTGTGTTACCCTCTGAAAGGCTTCCTTCACTTCCTTGTTCCTCAAGGTATAGATAACAGGATTCAGAGCAGGTGTGACCACTGTGTACATGAGTGCCGTTGCTTTGTCTGTTTCTGGAGTGTGTACAGTCTTAGGTTGGAGATAAGTAAACAAGGCAGTGCCATAGAACAGAGAAACAACCAGGATATGAGAAGAGCAAGTGGAGAAAGCTTTCTGCTTGCCGGCTGCTGAAGGGATTCTCAGGATGGTCACTAGAATGTGCATATAGGAGCACAGAATGAGGAGACAGGGACCCATAATGAAGAGCATGGAGACAGCAAACAACACAACCTCATTGCGGGAGGTATCAACACAAGCCAGTTTCACTACAGGGATAATATCACAAAAAAAATGCTGAATTTTCCCTGTTCCACAGAAAGGCAGAGTGAAGATCCAAGTGGTCTGGGCTGACTCCACTACCACCCCGGTGATCCAAGATGCTGCAGCCAATTTCAAACACACCCGAGGGCCCATCAGGAGAGTATAATGCAGTGGGTAACAAATAGCTACAAAGCGGTCATAAGCCATGGCTGCTAACAGGCAGCACTCTGTCAGTCCCAAGATGGTAAATATGTACATCTGGGCTGCACAGCCTCCCACACTTATGGTCTTGATCTCCAACAGCAGGTGCACCATCATCTGGGGCACCACACTGCTGATATAGCACGTCTCCAAAAAGGAGAGGTTTGCCAGGAAGAAATACATGGGAGTGTGCAGGGAAGGGGTGACCCAGATCAGACAGACGATGATAAGGTTTCCTCCTACAGTAAATAGGTAGATGATTAGGAACACAATGAAGAGTACAAGTTGTAACTCTGCCAGAGAGGAAAAAGCTATAAATGTGAATTTGGTGCAGAGGGACTGGTTTCCACTCACTATGGGCTCAGAACCAGACATCTGTGAAGACAACAAAGAAGACATAATACATAGGAATCCAGTCATCTAACACAGCTCTCTATCAAACCACAGCAAAGGAGTTCTTATAGAATCAGTAGTCTGAGATGAGAACCTGGACACCTGGATTTCTTCTAAGTCTTTCTAAATAATTACCCAACTAAAATGGATGCATATTCCTTCCTGATTTTGATTGTGGATTTTGTGCTATTTCCACAGGAATTAAAAAAAAAAAAAACCCTGATTTTGATTGTGGATTTTGTGCTATTTCCACAGGAATTAAAAAAAAAACAATGGCTTTAAGCTGTATCTTCTGGTTTTTTGTTTTTATCTTATCGATATTCTAATTATACACTCAAACTGTTAGGTAATATATGAAAACACTCTAAATGTAAAGGAGTTGTTGGTCCCCGGTGGCGAGGAACCAACATAAAGGAATCACATAAAATCTAAGTATATAGAGTAAAATATAAAGGTGCTGTATTTGGTCTTCCAAATTCTACAAACTTCCTTAAAGCTACACTTAAGAGTTTGAAAGGGAATATATTTCCAGCCATTTATCTGCACATTTACATACATGTTTTTACTATTTTGGTTTGAACACAACAAGCCAATGATTAGGAGCTAAGATCTAAGGAAATCAAACAGATAGATTCTCCTTTTTATAACCCCAGTGTAATTTTACAGAAAATTATGAATAGAAGAACATACCTAGAACCAAAAGGCAAATTGTCTTTTCCTTCTTGTGCTTCTAGACTTCCTATAATTCCAACTTATTACACAGTGATAGAACAAACAGTATTTTTATTCTTACTACAGACCAAAGGGATTACATCCACTGTGTGGCATAATTATATCTGTCTCAAGAGGAATGCATTAAAAAACAATGAAGTTTTAATGTGCAACTTGGTTTTCATTTTTTGAAATGAAATTTCCAGAGAGAATCTATTGCTTTCAGTTACATCACTTACATTTTGATGTATAAAAATAAAATTTTCTAATTGGTATTCATCATGTGACTGAAATAATAATTGAAGTTTATGGATGTTTGGCATAGTAATCTTTCTTAAGCTCCTCAAATGGACAGTGACCACTCACCGTCTTTGTAATAGCGGTAGGTGCAGTGCAGGACACTTCGGCTTTATAAACCTCACAGATAACACCCGCTTTATTCATTATTTATGATTCAGTTGTTACCAGCATAAAAAAGTAAGCATGGTTAGAAAAATTCCAAATTTCTAGTGGAATTAATTAAAATATATAATAATGTTTTTTTTCTTATACTATCCTCAACAGATGAAAAGGTTGTCCATTCTGAATGATCCCCATTGCGTCAGTCTGAATATGTTCTTTTCCCTGCCAGGTTGTCGGGTCTGCCACCAGCCGACCCGAACAGCCCTAGCCTCGTTCCTTTTGGTGGGCAAGCGAATGGCCCCGATTCCTCTTTCCCTCCTGTCCCCTTTGGAAGGAGACGGGGGAAGAGAGCTGTGAAGAGAGGTGAGCACACCGCCGGCCCAAGCCAGCCCGGTTAAAGGACACTCAGACGCGGCGGGGGTTCTGTCGAGCAGTTCCGTTTATTATCGCACAAGCACTTGGTTTTAAAGGCAAATGGGGAAGGGAGGTTTTTTACATAATCTTATCAGCTTAAAGGTCAAGAGAGCATGCATCCTGTCTCAATGCCTAGGTATTGCAACCACACAGTGTTCACGAGCACAGAAGTGCATATTTGGCCAATAAGGGCTAAGGCAAGGTTCCCGCAGACACCCCCACCCTACTTCCTCCCGGTGCCGTCTTAGGCTGCCACATTAATACACCCTTGTGGACCCACAATGGCGCCACTTGTAATGTCACCTAAGGTGGCATTAGTTTTTAAGGCCCGACAATGCCCCCTTTCTGTTATAATAAGGCAGCTGGAAGCGGCTAACCTT